CTGCCCACCACCTTCACCCATAGCCCCCCTCTGGATTCTGTTTCGGCTGAAACTGAACCAGCCAAGTGTGCCACGTTCTCCCCTCCCCCCCCCGAATAGTTCAGCAGAAGCTTGGAAACGCCGTGGGTTTGTTCCGGTTCAGAGCAAAATGTGCTTACTCTTTTACGCACAGCCCTATTTCTTTCCAGCCCCTCACAAGCGCCCGTGGCGGGAAAGGGCAGGGGGCTAGGCCTCTTCCCATCTTCCTCTCTGCTTTCCCCCTTTCCTGTTTCCCAGGGGGTAATTCCCGCACGGCCATGATCGCCGCCCTCAGCCCAGCCGACATCAACTACGAGGAGACGCTGAGCACCCTCCGGTGAGCTGGAAGGTGGACTCAGGAGGGGAGTCTGTGGGTGGGGAGGGGCGCCCCCGGGGCAAAGGTCCAAGCAGAGGCCAGGCTCCTCCTCCGCCTGCTCAGCACGCCCCTCCATCTCAGCGCCCCTCCCTCTCCTCTCTCCTCTCCTCTCCTCTCCTGCTGCCCCAGTTACGCCAACCGCGCCAAGGAGATCCGTTGCAACGCTGTCATCAACGAGGACCCCAACGCCCGGCTCATCCGGGAGCTCAAGGAGGAAGTGGGCAGGCTCCGGGACCTCCTCTCTGCGCAGGGCCTCTCAGCCACCTGCTTCTCGGGTAGGAGCAGCACCTGGGGAAGAGAGGCAGATCTGGGATGGCACACAGGGTACTCGTCCCCTGCCCAGAAGCCTTTCCCAGCAGCACGGGTCGGGGGAAACCAAGTGAGGTCTTGTCAGGAGGAGGGAGACCCCCCCTCACTCGGCTTGTGTCTTTCCAGGCGCCGAGGAGCCCACCGATCCGGGCGGTAGGCAGAGCATCCCCAGTTTGCCCTTTGGCTCGATGGCACACCCTTCTCTCCTGCTGGGCCCTGCTGCCCTCAACGGGGAGCTGGAGCTGCAGCTCCCGGCCTCGGAGGAGCAGATGCTGTGCACGGAGGAGGCCATGGAGAGGCTGCAGGTGAGGGGCCTTTGGAGAACGCCGGCTTCCAGCGGAGTGGGCACCGCCTTCCCTCTCGGGCACAAGGGCTTGGGGTCTGCCCGCCAGGAGCAAGGGCAGATGGCGTTCTCCTCTTTGCCCGGCTTTCCCCCGACAGCAGCGGCCCTCCCACCTCCACCCTGGCAGCCGCCCTTTCCCAGCGGCCAGACCCTGCAGGGGAGCAGCCCTCAGCCCGGGGCCACCCAGCCGCAGCCGGTCCCTGGCCGCTGCCATGGTTCAAGTCCCCTCCCCTTGCAGCAGCGCAGTCGGTCCCTCCTTGTGCGCAGTGCCAGGGTGGCTTTGGGCAGAGAACCGTTTTGCCTGAGCGACCTCCATCCCGCCCTTGCAGGAGACGGAGAGGATCATTGCAGAACTCAACGAAACGTGGGAGGAAAAGCTGCGGAAAACGGAGGCCATTCGGATGGAGAGGTGAGCACGGCCGCCCTTCTCTGGGGCGCTGCTTTTGCCAGCGGGCCCCAGGAGGGACCTGCCCTGTGGGCTGCACGTTTTGGTGCTCCGGAGCCTCTGTCTGGGTGGGGAGGTAGGGCCCAAGAGCCGTCGTGGGGCCAGCAGAGCCCCCTGAAGGCAGGAGCGAGCCGAGTGGCCGTCTTCGGCTCTGCCTCGTCCTTCGTTTTGTTCCACGTCGTCGTGTTTGATGCACGGAAGGGGCGGGCCATCGGAGAGCTGGCTTCCCATAGCGCAGGGCAGTGGTGTTCAGATGGCCCCATAGCCTTGTCAGCCCCGGAGCCGGTCGAGTGTCCTGAGTCTGGCCGCCCTCCAGGCCACGCTGATCTGCGTCCTGGGGCGCTTTTCCAGAAGAGGGTGGTGCCCCTGGGCTGAGACAGCCTTTTCCTCTTCCAGAAAAGTAGCAGGTCCAGAGAAGGAGCGGCGTGTCCCGCGTTTCCTGGGTCTTCCGTCTCTGGAGATGGAACAATCTGCATAAGACGCTCGGGGTCTCCTGACATCCAGGACTCGGGGTGGGGGGCAGAAGCCAGGGTGTCGCTGGTTGAATACACGCGGGAGGGCAGAGGAGTGCGCAGGTGCACCCTTGGGGGGCTCTCCTTCGGAGCCCTTCCTGGTCCCTGCAGCACGTCAGCCTTGGGGAAGCGCCTTCCGGGGCTGCCGAGATGTCGCCAGCCGTAGCGGAGAGCCCGTCTTTCCAGCCGCTCTCCTGTCCCGGCCGCTCTTCTTCGAGGCTGAGCTGGTGGAGCCCGCAGCTCTGACAAGGTTGTGGCGGTCCTGGGATGCAGCTGACTGGACGTCTGCCGCTTCCCCAGTGGCCGGCTTTAGGCGCTCGCACAACCGGAAACACCTTCCTCCGCGACCGGAAGCGCGTGACGCAAACTTAGCTAGCAGGTTTCCTTTGGTCTTCAGATGACCAAAGAGGGGTCTCAGCGGCAGGGATCTCTTGTCCTTTCCTGCAGAGAGGCCCTCCTGGCAGAGATGGGCGTGGCTCTTCGAGAGGACGGGGGCACCGTTGGCGTCTTTTCCCCCAAGAAGGTAAGCACGGCGTGCTGGTGCCGCGTAAGGGCAGGCGTGGCCGTGTTACTGGGCCCCCTGCCTGGCCGGCCTCCCCATCTTCTCCTGCACCTTCTCCCTTCCTGGCAGGAGATTCTACCCGGCCCCAGAAAGGGTCCTTTTCCAGCCCCACAGCAGACCTGGGGAGAGCAGCTGCCCTTGTGCCCGGCCTTCCCGGGAACGGCTTCTTGCCAATGCGGGACAGCCACCTTGTGTTGCACTCAGCCAGCGAAAGGGTGCCCAAACGCCGCCTTTTAGAATTGACTCATGGGGAGTCTGACCTGCTAAGAACCTCCTGCCGTGCCCCAAGGATATTTCGTCTGTGCGAAGACGGCCCCACGGGGCCCAGCAGTGCACGGTTGCTTGCTTGCAAACTAAGTGAAAGGCCCCGGCCAGGCTGGGGGAAGGCAGTGCCCCCAGCCCTCCTGCTGAAGTCAGTGTCTGCCCTCCCCAGACTCCCCACTTGGTGAACCTGAATGAGGACCCTCTGATGTCAGAGTGCCTGCTCTACCACATCAAAGATGGCGTCACCAGGTGAGGCTGCACAGCGCGGGAGCCGACGAACAGAGGGCTGGACCCCTCTCCCGGCAGGCCTGACCTCCCCTGCTTTCCTGCCCTAGAGTCGGCCAGCAGAACGCGGACATCCGGCTGAGCGGGCAGTTCATCCGAGAGCAGCACTGCGTCTTCCGCAGCGTCACCAGCGAGACCAGCGAAGGTGAGGCTCAGGGCGCGCGGAGCTCCTCCGGTGCGCCTGCCAGTGGCATGCGCTTTCAGGATAACCGTGTTCCTCTCCCCTCTCTTTGTGCTTGCCTGGAGCAGGGGTGCCCGGCCACGGGGCAGCAGGCAGCAGCAGGTATTGGCTTTTTCTGGTGTCTCCCCGGATTGGGAGGCGGGGAGGCGTTCCCGGCACCATTCCCCCCACCCCCCGGGCCCACAGCCTCCCTC